TTTTTTTTTTAATTTCAATTTTTGCGTGGGGTGTGCCAACAGGCGGACAATAGACCCATTAACCGAATGCCAATACGCTCAGCGTAAAAGTACTTCACATTAAAGTGCGCTTATACGCCGTGTGCGTATGTATGCGAGGAGGTCCTTAGAGTCCTGACAGTCCTTGCACCAGCGACAAAGACAGCACTAACAATAACAACAAGCTGTTGACAAATCGTTTGCAAGCGAAGACCAACTAATTAAGACGCAGGCTGCATTCGGGTTAAAGTTTAACTGCAACACTTTACAACTCTAACACAAACAATGAACACACACACTGGCACACACTTAAATTGGCATACACAGACTCCCACACACACCGCTACACCCAAACAAACACACTCACTCACATACACTCGCGTATTCGTTTCCGTGTTGAGCGCTCGACCTTTTTAAATTTGTTGGTTCGTTGCAATGCGAGTCGCGCGAGCTGCTCACGACTTGGTGTCTGGTTGGGCACTGCTGCAAGTGCTGCACGGCCAGCTCGTTTTTGTGGCAAACAGAGTTCTATATGCCAAACACACACACACATACAGAGAGACATGCTAACAGAGCCGAAGTGGAAAAACGACTGAATGTAGGTCCCTGTTGTCAAACTGCGCCCGCCCTCAGCTGCCAGCAACGTGTGTAAGCGCTCAAATGCGAGTGGGTGTGTGTGTGTGTGAGTGGGTGTGTGCGTGTGTGTGTGGGCGACTTGTTGTCCTTGTCGCCTTTCTACACTCAAAAAGTGACAAGTACACAGATACCCGAATATCCTCAGAGCTACAATATATGAAATAATAATAATATTATATATGGCATTTTGAATATTATCATTGATGAATTGAGTTTCAGAGTTGAGAGGAATATAGTATTGTATAACAGCAACCGACTGCGGACGGGTATAATAGTTAAGTTGTTGAAATGATTTGCTGAACGCCTTTCAGACTATGAGAAAAACATCCCGAACTTAAATTTTTCTCAGTGTATAAATTGGAAATGGCCCTCAAATGCATTGACAGAGTTATGCTACAACAGTTGTTGTTTTTCTCTAGCTTTCGCAATTCGCAGGCTCGGAAAACATACAAGTTTGTAGGCTCAAAAATTGAAGGACTACATTTGGCAATAACCAAGGCTAAACGATTCCAAAATGTCAGGGAACGCGCGTGAGGAACCCTGAGCATAGCTCAGATGGCACAGCAAAACACTTTACTTAACCAGGCTCTGTGCGAGGCTCATAATAAAGCTTGCTGTTGTTGCGGCCTATTCTTTGGTAAATACGTTTATTATGCCATTTGAATGTTTCTCCCTCTTTGTATATGCGGGGATGTGGTTATGTGTGTGTATGTTAGGCTGTGTGTATGTGGAATTGGGTATGGGTGTGGGTGTATATCTGTGCATGTGCATGGGTTTGGGTGTGTGTTTGTCTATTTCTATCCAAATTGTTGCACTGCCGCAGGAAGCAAAACACAAGCAACAAGCCTCGCAGTCTAGCTGGCAGCAGGCAGGAGGTAGCGACTAGCTCTTGCCTGTCATCATTGCAGTTACACACGGGCGCCCATGGCGTATACGCAATTTCCGAAAGCTTCTGTCTTTATCATTGTGTTTGTCCTGCCAATTGTCGTTATGTGAATAGATTCCCTCCATGGCGAACCGTAGCTTTATTGCTATATTTCCTTTAGCCAATGCGTCTTCCGCTCAGGACATTCGCATAAGTTGCGTAAAGCTGATTTAAGCCTGGGTCAGCAATTACCGACCCAACTTTGACCTCTCTCGCTCACTCGCTCTTTTGTTCTTTCTCTTTAAAGTTTAACGGCAGTTGTGCAGTTTCAGTTTTGTTTATTGCTTTGCTCGTTAGCATTCATATTTAGCGCATTGAAGTCCACTCCACTTATAGCTCAAAACAACTCACTCAATATGAGTGAGAGTAAGATTGAGAGGGAGAGTGAGAGCGAATACCCACCCTTCATGAAGCGTTAAGCATAGGATGCGCGCGCGCTCTCTGCGAACAGCTGGCTTTCCTGCTCTACCACGCAAAGGTTCAAAAACCTTGTGCCTGGTTCGATACACACAAACAATGCGAAACTGGCAGGTACACTGTACGAATAACATTCCAAAAATTCATTCATTTAAAAACAAAACAAGTCGTATGCCCTGAGTAAAATTAGGACGATTTTGGACCTAGGCACCAACCCACAATTTTTAATATTTTTAAAAATATATATTTTTTTTTAACTTTTTTTTAAGCCATCTTGATAACGAATAGTTTTTATTAATATTACATGAACTGGTATTGTTCTGTATTGCTTGATTATTTATTATTTAAAAACAAAGTCGTTCTAAGGCATAACAAAATTAAATAAAACATTGCCTACAAATTTCTGGTAATCTTGACTATACCAATTATTAATAATTTCAAACAATTTGTATATAAACATATTATTTTATTATTATTATTTATTTATTTTTCTTTTTTTTTAAT